TGCGTATTCGCACTGGCGATTATGATGAGTTCAATAGAGCTGCAAGCGGGACAACTACTTGACTTGACATGCATGATTTAGTGTCCCGTCGGCCGCGTTCCACTTGGCCACCCCAAAAATCCAAGCCCAAGCCCAAGCCGAACCCATCTCAACCCCACGCCCTGTGACCTTCATCCTCTTTCGCTCCCGCTTCCATTTCGCAAATTGCAAATAAGTCAGTACAAAGTGCCCTCGAACCGTGTCGTGTGACAATTCTCGCAAATTATGTTTTTTTTTGTTGTGCTTCCCTACAGTTGGCTAGGAAACTGCAGCCAGCCTAATCCGATTACACTAAGCTACAAAGGTAGAACCACAATCCAGATGTAAATTCATTTGGATATGAATTTACTGAGAAATTAATTTATTTACTAAATTATATTTTTAGTTTTTGTAGCAAGTTAATATATTTATTAAATTTATTTATCTTTTCTTAATTTATTAAAATTTTTTAAAGGATTTTCAATAATTTGATGCTCTCGTCCAAATGATGTTCTGAACGGGCCTCAAAATTCAATTTATAGAAGTAAGTAATCTATATTATTATTTTATATAATATTGTTTGCTTTTTAAACATGGTAATTTATGGTAATTTTTGTGAGTTTCGTTGAACCTTTAATTGTTGTGATTGGTTCTGGTCAAAAACACTATTTGTTCGAAAAAACAAAGAATCAAGAATTCCTTTACACCTCCGCTTACAATTCTTTGTTGCAGAGTGTCCCTGCACCCATTTCTATTCCGATTCGCGCTGCACTTTAGGGTATCTCTCTGCCAGCATATGGCGCACTTGGCTGCAGAGGATTCGAGGACCTACTGCTTTTGGGTTACAAACGGATCTGAAAACGGTCTCACACACGCCCCATAATTGGATTTCGATGACTGCAAATTGGTGATAATTTCGATTCGCTTCCGGGCAGCTTCCACAGAACGCACGTGGTTCGGTGAAAATGCGACCATCTGCGCCCGATAGGGCAGACTCTTTATGTCTGGTCGTGACCGGCTAAGTGCGGATTGCACAAATGGACCAACGGATTGGCGGGGCCCAAAGTCCACAATGGCTCTTTGTGTCTGGTCAAACAGCCCTGATCACACAAAACGCGTTTGTGGGCCAAGAGCTGACCCCCCAAAAATTGGAGAAAGGGAAGGCGAAAAGCAAACGAACCCGCGCCTAACACTTGATAAGAACTATTATATAAGTTTTGGCGAAATATCTGGGAAATACAGTTGGCAAACACCTCATCAACATGAAGAAGAGCTTAGTAAGCCTGGAAACTCTAGTGGGCTTCGTCCTGGAGAAGGATGACAGTTGCAGCGTAACGTCTACATTACTTGTAGAGAAACAAGGTAAAAGGATGAATGCATAAAAAATTTATGAACGGTTGAGTTTATTAAAACAGAAGTTGGTTTCTAATTAATTGTATAGTTTTTAATCGCTACTTCTATTTTATTATAAAGTTCTAGTTTGTTATCTGTCAGGTAAAGTTACCAATTTTTCAAAATATTAAATGAGACAAAATCGAGAGACAATCTTTAATGAAGTTTTGGCAAACTTTTGTTGTGATATTTGTTTTGTCGACCGATAGTTTAAACCCAACCTGATAATGAGAAACTAATTTTACTTCCAAAAAATTATTTAACTCAAAGACAACGTTAACATAACATTGAGAAATCCGCCATAAGCACATACAAGAAAATGTCCTGACAGATATTGTTTTATTTTTTAATCCATTTAACATTAAGTATCTTTTAAGGTAGCAATCAAATTTAATTGCAATTTAACTGGTGGTACTCATCCCCAAGATGTATGACCTTGGGCTACCAACTGGCTCACATCGACAGCGAGGAGTTGAACGCGGTGTGCATTTATCTCAATCCATTGCGATTCTCTGCAGAGGCCTCTATTTTGGACACTCAAATACCAGTTGGCTGAATAACTAACGTCAATCGATACATCTTTATGTACTGATCTCATCAGTTTAATAACTTATTTAGCTGGATTCCTAGCTGGGTTCCTATTTGTTTTGCTTATTTTCCCTAAAATGTGTTTCCTCGCCTCAACCCTAATCGATAAAAATTTTTGGGGCAGAGTGAGGGGGCAGTACTTTCGATGTCTGAAATACTCATTACACTGGATTGGATGGGATTGCGCCCACGGGGCGTTGCGTGTCAATTTATGCAACTCTCCTGCAATTTCCGGGGTATTAAAGCAATTTCCAACCCACTGGCCACAGCATACAGCCGTAGACATGGGCATGCCTTAATGGGGAAGTCCTGCATGTGAAAGCTCCCTGTTCGCCAGTTTGGGTGTGACGGAAAAGCCCTTCTGGGCATTGGAGAAAGCGAAAGAGTGGGTGAATCATCGCCATCGAGGAAAGACTCACCAAAAACTGATATCACATTCGGATAAGGTGCAAAAGGGCGGTGGCGTTATTTCAGAGTGGCTAAGAATATCAGAAAGTAAATTGTAATTCCTAATGTTTCAATACATTGCCATTGCCAAATGTAACAGTTTTATTTTTTAAAAAAAGTACAGTATAAGTAATAAAATATTTCACGGCTGTGAATATTAACATTTTTAATCCAACATTATTGTTTAGTTTTTGAACATTTTTAAGGAATTTGTATTACCAATTGTAAAATTATGTATTATTACTATGTTCGTATAAACAGCATTTAAGGCACATAAGTCTTTAAAGAAAACCCTGTTTTTAAATTTTTTCAGTCTTTAATAGGCACGATTTACGCCTTGAAAACTGAAAGTGGAAAAATTCCGTAATAAAACCAATTTTCTTATTTTCTATTCCAAACTAGGTTAGGCTTCTCATTATATTCCAATTCCGATAATAAACTTTTGAGAGGATTTAGCATTTAAATCAAAGTTTTGGCGCCCTGTTGTGAACCCTTTTCTCCGTTTTTCACCCCCCGTTTTTATAGAGACAAGTCGAAAGTCTTTCGACGCAATAAAAAATGCTCTTCGAGGAGTGCGTATAAAATGTCAAAACGTTTTAACAGCATTTTGAATCCGGTAGCATCACAATAAAATGGAAAATTCGCAGCAAGTAAATGCAATTTAGCCAAACGGGAGGGTCGTCAAGTGACGCTGCACCCAGGGGGACTGTTTGATTTACCGTCAACAGGAGATTGAAAAAAAAAATTCAGAAATAGAATCAAGCGGGCAAAAAACACGCGCCACCAAAAAGTGAATTAAGAACTTGTGTGCTGGAACGATGCGAGACCAGGCCAACGAGGGGTGATTTCCAGATGGGGTGTGGTTTGGCTTGGGGGGCAAATTGAGTTGCAACACTTGGCAGGTTTTTATCTACGCACCACAATCAACCAGCCAACCAGTCGACGAGCCGGCCAGGGAGTCCCAGACCCTGTCAGCAGGTCAGAGACCATCCAAACCATCATCCCATCCCAGAATACACTCAACAAAAAATATTTCATAATTATCTAGAGTACAGGCACATAAAATACTTTTGATTTCTGATCAGTGATGCCATTCAAAATACAAATAAATTTTTTATCATATGGTAAAGCAGATTCTATTAAAATACCTACAGTAATGGACCACTTTTAATTAATTAATTAAAAAATCTTTCATAACACTTCTAAAAAAGTGTACCTGAAATCACTATTTAATATACACTGATTCCTATTTGGAAGTTTAGTTTGCCATTAATACAAAATTTTCTTATTTCTTATTACAAAAAAGTCTGAGTTTTTTCCCCAAATTCCCACCGTGTAGACCAATTCGGATGAATTAAGGCTGTTAAATGTGCCGAGTGTAGGCGAAGTGACCAACAGCCTAGTCAGAAACCGAACAGGAGCAACTGTTTCGTGTTGGTGGACGTTGATAACAAGATTTGTTTTTGAAAATTTCTGGAGGGTCGTCCTTAATTACGCCGAAAAGCGCAATGAGCAATTTGGAAATGGCAAGTGAGCGCGATGGCGGAGGTCTAAACCACATCCACCCCAAGCAATTTAGGTAAATTAAATTTAGAGTGTGCCCATCCTTCGATTTTTGAACAGGGCAGCGTGGAGTAACGCTCAAAAGTCAAAAGTATATGGCCCGTTTGGTTGATTTAAGCCAGAGATAAGGGGAATCGGAGGAAGGACCCAGACAGGATAGTAAAATGGGGAAGGGAACGTTCCACCCTCTCCCAAACACACATCCTTAGACAAATTCTGCTAACCAGACACTCGACAGTCGCTACACGGATATTCCATTAAAAGAGCCAGAGCGAATTGAACAATTTTCACTTTATGATTTATTGTAATGAGCTTTTTATTTATGGCACGACTTCTTCTATTGGCCAGAAACAGTAAACATAAAAAAATATATATTTCAGCGTCTGTTTTTGTTTGTATTTCCATTTCCCCAGCCGTTTTTTCTGCGTTTTTCGAAAATTAAAAATTAATTAGGCATTTATCACTTGGCTGTCTAACAGATGGCAGTTTTCCGGGGGTTGGGGTCGTTGAAGTCGTTGACACAAGTACGGGGTAAGTGCAGCTGAACAAGGATATTCCTTTAGGCAAAAAGTCCTACACGGAAATATAGTTAAGGATGAGATATTTACATGAAGGTTTAGGGATTCAGAGTGAGCGGAGATGCATACATGAACTTAAACTTTAGAGATGTCTTTAAATGTACTCTAAGATTCCAAGCTGAGATTGGAGAAATCATTTTGCAGAAAAAACTATTACTTTAGACCTAATTTAAGTGCACATCAAGTACTTTTATTAAGGCGGGTTAATATTATTCCCCAACAATCGCATTTTTCAGTGTACTAAAGAAAAATAGCATGCAAGAAAATTGCTAGTCTTTTAAATTCCTAACAGCAATTGTGAATTGAATAATAAATGAAAAATATTCTTAATATCAATTCACTGTAAAAAAATGGTGTCACCATTTCTTAAATAAATAAAAAGTCAATATTTTCAATGACTATTCATCGTTAAAATGAATGCTAAAATTTGGCTTTTACTCATCCCCGATTTGAAAGTTCACAAACTTCAATTTGGCAGCTTAAAGTCTTTTGCAAATGTTCGATAACTGAAACCGCTGAAACTGATAAAAAGCGAATTGGAAAGCGGAAATCTCAGGTTTCCCGGGGCTCAGGAGCTTCGCATTTTGGGAAGACGCTGCTCTCGTAGGTGGGCACCATATACTTGATGTTGATGAAAGCGTTGGGACCGCCGCAATATTCCAGCAACTTCAGGGTGTCCTCGATGACGTCGCCAATGCGACAGTTGCGATCAGGATCGATCCCCTCTCCCAGGTTCACATTGATGTTCTTATAAAGGTTGCACACGGCCAGCAATTGGCGATAAAAGGGGACAAGGGCCTGACCCACACAGGGACCTATGGATTAGATTAATATAAGATGTTAAATGAATTTCAATAACCCTTTTTAGACATTTTTCGATAATTTACTATTTGAACCTATAAAATAAATGTGTACGCATCAGTTTTAAGAGTACCTTACGTCATTCCCATAGTAAGAAAGATCGTAATAATCCTACGTCATCATACTGCTGTAAATCAGCAAGAGCCTATCAAAAGTATATAATGAGCTTGTTTAAAATACCGAAGCTCATTATAATTTAATCTAGCCGGGAAAACACATCATATATAGTTGTTAGATCTTTAAATTATGAAAAACACAATGCAAACAATTTCCATTTCTTTATTTGTGTTAATTTCTTTAATGGTAATATAGTCAAATTAAATGAAATTCAAATATTTATTTTTGCCTTGCAGTTAGTTTTTCATCATCAAATATTCTTAATCGCAAATGCAATTGTGGGTAACCAAAAAGGAACTGAGAATGTGGAACCAACAAATACGGGATTAAGTGCGGAAATAACTCTAGATCGATCGGATATATTGAAATCTATCCTAAAACCGAAACTGCACTTTAACGAGGAAGAAAACGGAACAAATATTTTAACTTCCAATGAATTTCCTCCACCCTCTAAAATCGACCCGGAAAGCAACCATTCAAAATTTAAGAAAATTGCTGATAAGATGTATTATATCGAGTCCAATGAAAAACTGGATTGGTTTTACGCTATAGATAAATGTGAAAGCATGGGAAGCCGTCTAGTTAGTCTCCAAAGTGAGAAGCAGTGGAATGATATCAGAGTACACCTGGAACCCAAAGATAACTATTGGGTGGACATCAGTAACGTTCTATCGGATTGCGGATTTTTATCGGAGACTACCGGACAAAAAGCTAAATTTATTAATTTTAAAATTGACGATACAAACAGCATTTCTAACAGTGAAAGCTGCATTGAGCTGAGAGCAAATAATAATCATTACATGAATTCGGTAGATTGCTCGAAAAAAAACTTTTATATATGCGAGGGAGATGAGAATAACGATAATGTAAATATATAAATTAAATAGCTGACTTTACAAAAAATGTTTTAAAAGTAAACAAATCCATTAATAGTTATAATTTGTTTTACCTATTAAAATAAAATTAAATTAAATAAAATGCCCATAGTGCTTGGAAATATGTATGGATCCCCAAAGAAAATTAGAAAATATATGATAATCTAAAAACTCACCCAATCGAACCATCAGCTGAATGACTTGAAGAGCGGAGATGATGATCCGCTTGTCGCGCGTCTGAAAAGCCCTTTTCAGCGGAAGTATCAGCTTGGGCAGCACAGGAAGCACCTTTTTGGGGGACCTCATGATGAGATCGATAGCTCCGTTTACGGCCAGCAACCGGGTATCATAGTCCATGTCCGCTAATCCATCCACGAAGATGGGCAGATAATAGCAGTAGTCGAGATTCTCCGGCACACAGTGCCACTTTACCGGTCGTTCCTTGGTGGGATCTTGTTTGCTGCTTCGACCGGACATTACACAAGGAATGTCCCCGCGGTTGAAGTAAATCTTGAAAACAGTCTCCTTCACTGGCTTTCTCTTAAAGATGTCAATCCTATGTATGGTACGATGTTAACTCTTTGAATTCTTTAAAATATTTATGCTTTTGCTCACTTTGGAGGAGGCTTTACCACCGTGTTGGGCTGCAGTGCTTGATAAGTAAAGGCGGGAACTTCACGAACAGGCTGTTATAAAGTTATAATAATATAAATCAAATCCAAAATGCAAGATATTTTTAACAATATGTCATTAATTATTTATTGTATCGTTTTTTTTTGTTTTAATATTTTGTTTCTTGTTTTAAAAACATATTTTACTTACCACTTTTGACCTCAGGTAAAGCAATTCCCGACAAACCTTCCCAGGTTCATGGAGTCGTGTAGCACGTTCATTGGTTTTAGAGCACATCGTTAGTAAAGTTAAATCCACTTAGAACTTAAAAAAAAAATTACAAAACCAAGATGTGTGTGGGGCCTAAGCTACCAAGTCAATAGTAAATAAGTCTCGTAGACTAGATTTTTGGGTCTGTTATAGAAAAGGTTTACGGATGTTTTTTGCATGGGCTACTGGGTAAAAATGCCAATCAGAACAGTTACAAATATGGTTAAATCTAAAGTGGGTTGACAGTATGCACTCTGTTTGCTCAAGCGCATACTGTACAAAAGGCACATAAAAAATGTAAATAAATTATTCGTATAAATAGGAATGCATATATTTATACACATGTTCTTATCAAGACGTCAACACTCGCCCCCCCATCCGTAAAACCGAATAATTTTGGGGTGTCGTCACCCGGCGCCCTTTCACACCTAAAAGTGTTTGGCGTCTCTAAATAGTCATAAAGGGAAAGTGCAAACATTTGCGCACTTTATCATCTTTTCCCATTTCCCCCGACCCGCCCCACTCGTTTTTTGAGCGGTAAATGTAACGGTAAATATTTTGTAACGCCCCCAATTAAGGCATCTGCTGAAGAAGTCCCCCGACTTTCACTTGGCAAAGGCCCCACCCACCCACCTCACCTATAGCATTAACCTACTTAAAACGGTGGGGAAACGAGACAGATTCCCGAGTCGACCTATCTCCATTGCTTGTTTCTGGTGCCCTGAATTAATTAAAATCCGACATGCGAATTACTTGACTGTGCTTATCTGACTCTGTTTTCCAGCTCCGTCTTTGGCTTTCCTTTCCCAGCTCCTGTTTTTAATTACCCACGCACAGCTTTTCACTTTCGCCCAACACATCGTTGCACGTCGCGATTTATCCGTTTTAATAATGTCGAGAGAACCGGGTTGGGTCGGGATCCCAATCCCAATCCCTACCCCTTGTATCCTTAACTTTGCCTAGCTTAGCTTCTGTCGCTTTCTGGCATGTAAATTGAGTTAGAGGCATTTAGGATTATGGAGCATAAGGACGGGCCTTCGACTTACGCGCTAATTGCTTAGCATTTCTCCATGGAAATATGATGGGTTCAACAGGAGGAATTAGCAAATATGTATGAAATAGTGGTGATTATCACATTAAATGCATCTTAGTTTGTTGGTATAGTTTAAGGTCGCTTAAAATGATTATATCGAGAACATATTTCAAGAAATATTTACAGCAATATATATTTGAAAAGTTTATAGCCATCAAAATATCAAATCTTACCTTTATTATCTTGAATTTCTTAGCGAACCAACTTTTATAATTGGCTATACAAAGTAATACATAGCTATTTGAAAAGTTTATAAGCCATCAAAATGTATAATCTTACCTTTATTATCCTAAACTTCTTTTTGAACAAGCTTTTATTATTGGCAATACAAAGTTATACATATCAATATACAATTAATTCATCCTGATAAAAATATTAAAACTAAAAGAGTGCTTTGAAATGATAAATGTTAAGTATAATAATAATAAATATAATATAAAAATAATATTAATAAATAATATTTTAATTACCCCAACAAGATGCATTAACTCAATCGGTCTTTTTTGAACTCCCCCTTAGTTCGATTTCACCCGATCAGCCCCAAAGTAGGCAATATATCAAATTGTAAATAATTATTGAATATTCCCCATTAGACGACCGCTGAATGGAAAATGGAAACAAAAGACGCCGCTGGCAGACGACAGCTCGCAAATTCGCACTGGAAGCGAACGCTTTTATAATGGCCACAACGCAAATCAGCCGGATCATAATTTATTGGACCCCAAATGGAAGTATTTCCCACAGAGCCGAGCCATGGGGCACAAAATGGACAAAAGGCCGGGGCTTTCAAATGGGGTTTAGGTGAGGTGAGCCATCGCATCGGTGAGGTAAAATCATCCAGGAAGTTGGTTTGGGGTGCGTTTGTCTAGCTGACACTTTCATTAACAAAAAGTCAGAGCGATGACAACGGGCATCAGAGGGCGTGGAGAATATGGGGGTCCTGTCTGGTTGTTTTTGCATTGTTACAAAGTGCAATTCTGGATGGGGGGGGTCCTATGGTGGTGCTATGGCTTTTTGTGGGTGGTGGCCATTCAGCTGACATGGCTGCAGTGCGGCACGTAAATCTAAACAGCCACTGACAGCTTTCAACTGGCACTCACTCCCACTTTTTTATATGCTGCTCGAAATGGACAGTCGTCGGTGGGGGGAGAGAGGGGCCACCGAGCCCATCTTGAATGTCATATAAGCCATATACATATATATCAATATCCTGGCCATATATCAATATGCACACGCGCTCACATATATCTACTTTCGTTGGCTTGTTTGTCTGAAATTGACATCGCCTGTATGCTCTGTATTCAGTATTCGAAAGCCCTCCTCCGACCATCATGGACATGGCCAACAACCGACAACAGGGTTTTGGCCTTTTGTTTTGGCCCGGCCTGGTATACTGGTCTACTGCTACGGTCCGGCCGAGATTTTATGTTCGCATACATTTTGAGCGCTTTATTGTTTGTCCAATTTCGTGCAACATCGCCCGGCCTGAACGACAGAGAGAGTAATCGAGTATCCGTTGTCTGTCTCGTGTCAGGAATAAAGAGCTAGGCTCCATCCCGTTGGCCGTTAGGTGTTAATCTAATAACTGTCAAATGCAGGATGTTGCTACTTCAGATTGGTAGGAAAATTGCTGCTAACTCACTTCTAGTGGCAAATAAATTGTTGTAAAAAGGGTATCAGCTATGAGGGGGGAGAACTAAAGGGATTAGGTCACGAACTCTATTATAAATATATAGAAGTTTACAGAAAAAGCAAACTTTAAATAGATTCGAAAATTCAGTTAAAGGAACCGATTTTCTAAATTCGGTATTTGAGTTCTAAGATATAGATAGATAAATGGTAATTTTTTGTATAACCCCAAGAAGTTTCTTTACCTTGAAACCGAACTATTATTTGTTAAGAGTAGAAATTTTTGGTGAATCAACTGACTCTTTAAAGTCCGTACTTGTTTTATAAGATCTATAAAAATTTAATTTTTTTGTTTAAATGCCAAACAGATACAAGTATTTTAAGTATCTACTCTATCCTTACATCTATTTTGCTTCACACCCATTCAGGGTTCAAACTCCAGTTCCGACTTATAATGGCTTTCACTGTGTTTATTTGGTTCAATTGCGCTTCTGGCAGCCTAAGAATAATTTCTGCATCGCCAAAATCCCATAAAAATCAACAACTTCGAGACGGAGCCCATATGAGCATCTAACTGCTAACTGCAGGCCCGGTCACAAGAGCAGTCAAGCATTAAATGGCCACGACCAAAGGGCCAGAGGGCTGGGATTCTTCGCTGGAGATGGTGACTAAGGGTCTGGGGGGCCTGAGAATGGCTTACTAGTCCAGCACATCCCATGCAGACAGATAAAGGTCCCGCTCTGTACTCTAACATTTTTATGAGTCGTAAATCGAAGCGATAAAAATCACAAGAAAATGGAGATACAAAAACAAACAAGCCTGCGAACCGAGAGAGAGGTCAGTTGAAAGTCTAGACCGGAATGGGTTAGACTTTTGGGGCCCGTCGTATCTCTCATAAGTCACACGATAAATTCTGCAACATTGCGCTAATGACAACAATGCACTTGGAAAAAAAGGGTTATTATATTCATGAAAATTATACAAGTGTCCGAAAGGTGTGTCCTTATTGAACATTAGACAGTTTGTATTAATTCATTATTTTATTAATAATATTGCTATTATTATTTCTTTATTTTTCTTTAATTAAATTTCACTGTCTGCCTGGCAAATAAAATAGCCTCTGTCCTCACAATCCCGATCATGCATTTTGGCATCGTATGTCTCAACGCAGTCCGAATTTCCTTCGTCGCCGGGCTGATGAAGACCCCACTTTATATAGGGAGCCGGCTTACCAGTTGTCACCGATACGAAGTGGTCATCATTCTTGAAGTCTCTGATTCCAAGCCAGTAAAATTCGGTTCGATATAAAATTTTTGATTGAATGGCGTAATACTCCTCTGCATTTTGAAAAGTGGCAAGATAACCACCTATTTTACGGCAATATTTTTGAGCTTTATTCCAGTTTGCCTTAAAATCTTTGTTGACATAAAAGTATCTCGTGCCGATGGTATCGAAATACGGCATAAGGATCTTCTTTTCAATTCTAAAGAGAATCTCCTGAATACTTGAAACTTGATCCTTCAAATTTTCCAATTCAAATTGCACGGATTCCTGCTTGTTTTCCACATTGATCTCCATCTCTGAAATTTTGTCGTAAATGGTGTCCATTTGTCTCTCAGATTTGTTTGGCAGGGGATTTGTTTTACGCAGCATTTGCAAAGCGTTTTCTTCCCTTGTCATTGCCTGGGATCCATATATATTCCAGATAACTAATGCAATTGAAAAATAAGAACAGACTTTCAGCATGTTGGCCGCGAATAACCACTATGGACAAACGTTGATAGCAAACTGATTCTGAGGATAGGCTTGGGATACCTTTTATATAGACCTGCTTCTCTGATAAGTAAAGGTATATTTATTCAAATGAGTTTGTGGAACTAACCAGCGGGTGTTTCAGGACAGGATTAACATCCGGATTTTGATTCGATTATTCACGGATAAACCGAATTTTAACACATGGTCGTAGATTAGCGTATATTACCTGAGTCTTGTTTTACAGTTGGTAGAAAGTGATCCCCCTGCTTAGCGTCCAAATTTCCAAAACCATATTGCAATAGCGCAGCCTTAACTTAAAAATAAAATAAAGTTAATTATGTTAAAATAAAATGTAAATGAACAGAAGAAAATAAATATATTTTGACTTGTTTAAGTTAACTAGATTTATGACTATTAAACAAACCACTATTAGTACAGGGTGTTAAACAAATTCCAAACTTAAATTTAAGTTTTGCCAGCTTCGTTCCAAACATGTTTTCGAGTGCACTTGGCCAGATCGACAGAAATCGCCCTGCATTCTGGGAACGTCGGAAGTTCATTATTGTCAGTGATTAATGACAAGGACCGCGGATATATGTATCCTGCGACCGGGAACTGGCCGATGGCTCTGCATTCTGGTTGCCTGGTCCTTGGCCACATAAGTTAGCTGTAGCTGTCAGCTGTCCCTAGCCCTAGCCCGAACCCGAAACTCGAAACTGGCTGGAAATGAAAAAATCGGCAGCCAGGTCTCGCAGAGCCTGAGGCCGGGCAAAAAACAGGAGACCACAGTACTGGGAAGGATGGGAAAGACGAGCTGTTGACATCACTCCGTCCGTCAGTTAGCTGGAAAATGCATTGCTGCCAGCTGCCAACATGATTAGCGCGTTGATTTGGCAACCGATTGCCGAGTGGAGTGCATCCGAGCTAACATTTCACCCATCCTCAACAGAGTTCGACTTGGCAGCTTCGCTCCTCCGTTTATCCATCCCTATCCCCATCGAAAAGTCCTTAAACTTATGCAGTGCTAAGCGGCATTGACAACGGCACGCACACATCGTTTGACAGAGGCAGAGTGCCTGAAAGGGCGGCAATAAAAGGGGGGCGACCCTTCTGATGGTTCAATGTACGACAAGTGAAATTAATTTCAAACAATGCAGCAAACTCCGAAAACAACAAAGCCGGAGAAGCTAAAACCCCACGACAGCACAAGCAAATTAAATAAAAATTCCAACATGAACGTTACCGGGAAGAGAGTTGAACTGCACTGGAAAAATAGTATGGAATTTCTGTAATATTTTCGAGTATTTATTTTTAAAAGAGTGTTAATAACTAAACATTTTAATTTATTCACTTGAAAAGTACTTAACACTTTTTGTACCATTAATAAATGTAACGTAGATAATGAGAATTGTATTTATACCCGATACTCGTAAAGTTAAACGGTAATAGGAAAAAGGAACCGTTTTCGACACTTTAAAAAAATATATTCTTGATCAGGAGCACAGCCGAGTCGATCTAGCCTATGGACGCTAGGTGGCGTGTTAGTCTGGTGTACAATTTTGAAAACAGCCGACTTGCTGCGTGCATATCTCTATCTCTCTCGCACTCCCTTTGTATAAATATAATAATACTATTATAAGTAATATGAAAGTTTTATGGAGCACGTTAAATTAAGTATGTAATTTTTTACATTTCTTATCAGTTTTTCAATTAGTGTATCTGTTCTTGAATTATAAAGTATACAATTTGTATTAAAAATCATGCATGGCTGTATCTTGAAATAAAATACCGAAAACTTGAGAACATTCGTTTCTTGCAGTGTTCGCTTAGCATCCTGATAAGGAGCCTCGGGAGAACAGTGGATTGCCAGCCATATGACAGACTCAATCTACGTGCCTCGGGTCGATGAGTAAGCCAAGTTAGGGGCAAGCAAAAAAGCCAAGTCGAAGCAAACCAAAGTTGTCGAAAATTATTTCGTTTTAATTACGCCAAAGGGCGTTGTCAAAAGACGTGTCGAAATGTGTCGCCGCTTTGGATGCACTCTAAATGAAATCACGTCACCGATTTGCCCCGCCCCCAAATAAAGCACCGCCCACACTCACACCAACAATTGCCGACACTTCAGGTTGCCTACAACTTTTCCGTTGTCATTATCAATTTGAGTTAATTGCCGCAGCCAAAGCCATCCTGGGCAGAATGTTGCCATTTTGCTGTTGGCTGGCAGCAGCCATTGCTGTTGTGCTGTCGTCACTTCCGGTCTGGGAAACCCCCTTCCTTCCTTCCTTTCTTCCTTCCCCTCTACCCCCCTCCCCCTTCAGACGACCCGACGACGCATTGTCTGTGACTGTTTAAAAGCGTTTAGTCGAAATTTATTTGTATAACATGCCAAAACCTGCAGACACTTTCAGGAGGACGGGGAGAGAGTCGTGGCGAAATGTTGAATTATTAAATTAAGTACCTTCTTGGTTTATAGCGCATCGTAAAAGTGCATCGAGTATAGGTGTTATCAACAAAGTTACTAAGTGACTTAGACAATCAGTTTGGGCACAAGGTGTTCAACTAATCAGTAAGTACACGTTTACACGGGACAATATTAGTTGAAGGTTTTTTTCTATAAGAAATATCACTTGTGTGCCTCATAAACAAAGGTGAAGTTCACAATTTAATTCAAATAATAAATTCTGGCATATCTTTAGCTGTTTTTAAAAAGGTTTTTGCTCTGTTTTGTGTTCTGTGTATTTCCGCTTTGATAAAATTTTATCAAAACCACACTGGCTTGCATAACAGAAGCAATACTTAATTATGAATATTTTAAAATAACAAGAAAAACAAGATAGAACGCTATAGTCGGTGCCATCGACTATCAATCACCTCGTCAGATAAGGGGGTACGAAGAAGATTTAAGGTTTATAAGATATAAGATTTTCCTAAGATTTTCCATACACGGACATGCTAGTTTGGATCCTGTTACATAATTACCGTCGAGTCTAGTATACCCTTTTACTCTACGAGTAGGGGGTATAAAGAACATGAAATACTGATCCCTTTGTTTATATATAAAAGTTGTTATTTATTGTATGTAATCTTGAATATGTAAGTCATATTATATGTGAATTGTAAACAAAGAAAACTATACACCACGTATCAGTTGTATTTTCGTATTGACAAGAACTTTGCTTACATCATTCGCTAACTTGAACTCACTACGAAAGATTAACAAATTCCACGTTGAATATGTTTAATTTATTTTAAATTAACGTTGAAAAATAAATTTAATTATAATCATTAAGTCAGTTTAGTTCGCATACATATGCTATTTTCTTATCACATTTTCCCACGCCCATTACCAGCTCCTCACCCGTGAACTCTAGATAGACACAAAATCCATTCTCAAATTTCCGATTGGGCTGCTTTGTGGCCCCAAAATTTGTAAAGTTCATTGGATAGGCGTCTTGGTGCCAATAGAAATCGATCAGTGTTTTGTGATCGACGTGTTTCGGATCGGAAAGCCTTCCCCGATGACCGCCGCTCCAGAATATGGAATGTGTTTGGATGTGGGCCCGATATCGCATATAGTCGGAAATAAGTCTCATTTCCTGGGAACTGCGAACAGTCACCAGACGAGCCTGGGGATCAATCGTCTCACATCCGAAGTTCGCGTGCATCCAATCCATCTGATTAATTTACAGCGAATAACATAAGTTACTCTGCTGACCAGTTTCAAAATAAATATACAGGCATGCCCCATGCGCAATCTGTTGGAAATGTACTTTCATTTTCTAAAAATATGTCGAACATTTTTACAAGTGTCGCTTCAGGCATTACACCTAGAACAATTTGCGGAAACCAGAGGCATACGCGTGTATATTTTTATAAACTTAATTATATCAAAACTAATTTTACTTACTGTAACGGGAACGCTGAAAGCTCGATTCTTATAGACTATTTTGTAGTACTCATAGGAGGGCTAAAAATAAAAAAGTAAAACAAATTGACTCATTTAATTTCGTACATACCTCCTTGTTGGATGAAAAAAAATAGCAGCGATCACCAATCTTTACAAAGGGTTTTGAACAGAGAGCTAAGGCATTAAATATATTTAAATATAAATAAATAATAAAATAAATTGTTTCCAAACTCACGTTGCCAGCAGCTCTTGAATATATAAATGTATCCGGCCGTCAGGAGTAATATACCTGTAAGACCTACGAAGGATTTTCCCAATGCTGACATTTTCCACAGTAGCTCGAAGTTGACTGAAGCTCCATGTTTAACGTTTTCAAGTTTTATAGACCCTACGTAAAATAAAACTTTCTGAGAAGAAACTTGAGACCACACATTTGGCGACAAACATTGGCACACTCCCTTGATACACAATAAAAAATTACGGTTTTCACTTTGAGCCATTTTAATGAACCAGCATAGACTGTGTAAAGTTTGTTTAGTCCAACATAATACAATAGTATTTTGACTTCTTGTAAAGCTTTATATAATAAATCAATTTGGAATATTAAAATATTAAAAAGCTTAGTAGAGTCATTGAAAAACATGTGACACATGATTATAACATTTACAAGTCTACCAAAATATCAAATAAATTTACCAATTAGTCAAATGAAGCGTCACAGGAACCAGCCTACGCCCAATATAACAATTATTTTTTCACCACTTTAACATCTATAATTTCTGGTAAGAGATTTATCTTGTCCTCTGCATGTTGACTTGAGTTTCTCTTCGCTTTCCATCTGAGAAGAAATATGAAATAACAGAGCCACAGTAAGACCCCCAAGACGAGTACATGAATCCAGGATTCCGTTTCCAGAAAGAGCCAGATTTGCTGAAGGGACAACTTGTATTCGCAGATATAGTAGTCGTCTTGCCCGTAGGACGGTCGCATGTACAGCGATGAGTTGGCCAGTTGTAGGCTGAGAAAGGTTCCGGTTCCGTCAAACTCTCCCTCAGTGCCGGGCATCCAGTGGGTAAAGGTCAATGGCTCGTCCACCCCCTCCCAGGAATAGTGTATTTTGCTCTTGAAGTTGCTGCCCGATGTGGCGAAAGTGCTTCCGTCGGGAAACCCACGTGATAAGATATACTGCTCTAGGTTCCTGAGTTCCCACGCAGTCTCCACGGATAAAAGCGTTGACATTTTTCCCCAGCAATCCCGCCGCGCGACGAACCAATCAAAGTAGTGCCCCGCCTTTGGGAAAAATGAAAAGATATATCGGACAAAATTAGTATCTTTAAATGTATCGACCCTGTTTTTAAACCCAATTCGTTTTGTTTTTGTGTTTCAAAATGCGTTATGTTTGTAAACAAATTGTAAATGTATGCGATATTGTTTTGGAAGGATTGAGTTAACAACAAACCTTGAGACGCGCAGGATTCTCTAGAATCTGCATGCTTATTCCCAACTTTGTATACTTTTCAGTTTCCGAGATTACAGCGTTCATACAGCGTTCATGACTAGGTCATCTCGTCTAGTGATCCTTTTAAAGAATATATGTATATACATGATGGGGTCGGAAACGTTTTCTTATACTCTTTTTACCTTACGGGTAAGGCGTATAAAAATGGGCTTGCCGATTAAACCAAGCAGTACTATTTTCCGGAATTTTTTCACGCCATTAAATCCCATCGAAGGACATCATTTTACTTACGATTACCGTTAAGTTGTTCACTCAGTACCCAAATCCCAAATAATACATAATTTTTCAAATATATTTATTCACTTTATATGTAAAGTTCACTTATACAGAAAGATTTCTGATTTTCAGGCCATATTTGTTTCGATTGCAACTCACTGTCTTCTCATTGCCTATATAGTAATAACCGTCTCCAATTCGATCGAAAACAGTCTCACATCTGCACCCAGTCATCAGAAACAGGAAAAAATATAATTCCGATCGCATTTTGCGATGTTGGTTCCCTTGGATTGAAAGCAATACTGGTTTGTGCCGCAAAACAGCCTACAAGCGACAGTAAGCTCCCTTATCATCGGTTATATATATATAGTAAGTATACTTACTAGGGCAATGTTCTTTACAGGCTGTATGTTATTTCCTGCGCAATAGGTGAATTTTTTAAGTAACCTTCGATTTTAGTTCTTGGCACTATCAAAACAAAAATTATTTTTTTTGTGAGGATTTGAAAATTCAACACTTATCAGTTAAAGTGTATGTAAGCCAATTTACTAAACTATACCTTCGGTCGACGCATCAATTCGCTTATCGCTATATAGCAATGAACACTCATTGATTGCTATAACAATCTTTGGTTTTTTCATTTTATTTGTAAAAAATCAGATGCGTATCCGACATTTGATTGCGTGGAGATTTGAAAACATATAGTAACATTTTACTTTGAATATTTTAAGAATTAAGTAGTGATGTTTTTTAATGGAGGATTTATGTCTACCGCATTTATATTGGGGAAATCTTTAGTTTTTGTTAGTGTACGATTTTTATACACAAAATTTTTTAATAAATGTAATTTTTTTTCACTCACTTTTCTCTATATATTATAGGAAATAAGGGAATTCGAGAATTGATTTTTGTCTTACTCCGATTTAGCTAGGTACAATTGTAGGTACACGAAATAATATTTGTCAATCAGTGGATAACAGAACGGGCATCTGTACCGTTCAGGGTCTGTTCGCATATATCGACAGCTCGAGTATAGCAGGACTCACTGCTCATTACGAGTTCTCCACCTCGAAGAGTAAGAATTAGGCAATTCCGACCCATTTGGGGGGTTGGCTCGTCCACCGCCCAATTTGAGTAGTTCAGAGGCCGGGCCCTTCCAAAGTAGTTCCAATAGAAGCGATTATCTCCAGGCCAGCGATGGCCGGCACTCCAGAACTGGGTTCCATTTGGGTAGCCCATCTCGTAAAGGTGCTGGGCCAGAAACCGCATCTCCTCCTCACTATCCAGGCAAACCCGAGAGGTTCGCTTGTCCTGGTAGCAGAAGTTGTGGAATGATGTGTGCTTCCAACCAAAGAAAGAAAGGTTTAGTTAGAATTAGTTTATAAGTAAAAAACTTTTTTAGAGATGCACCTACATACGAATGGTTTAATTGAAATGAAAAAGCTTTGTACTTGTGGTCTTGTCATAAAAAATAAAAGCTTTCTTTTTAAAATGTGACCATCCCTGGTTAAATTTCTGCAATAGCTGCTTTCCCTTCCGCATGTTAAACTAGAAGTAGGTTTTAAACTTTTTTGGTTTTTTTAGGCATATAGCCTAATAAGTAAGTCTTACATACTAGCGAGAAAGCGGACCTATATTTCGAAACTGGTGTTGATATCGGGAATCTGGGGCTAATGAGATCTAATAATTTAATTGAAAATGTTGCACTTTAGGCTAATTTATTACCGCTTTAAGAATGGTAACCCAGATCTTCTATCATTTAGGCTTTACCTATAGATATTACCAGTATTATTCTATTAGCCTGTATTTGTTTATAATTTTTTTGCCCAGAATTGTAATTGTAGGGCATCTTTCAGTCGCTTGGGACTGTTAAGACTTAACCTAAAGCAATTTTTTTGCGTACTGTCAATATCAACCAGAACATGTTTAATGTCCGTTGTGTTTTTCCTGCTGATATGGGACTTAAGTGAATCATAAATGATTGGCAAACAACCGATGTTTATGCACAAAATGTGGTTAAGTTCAAATTGAGCGGTTAAAAATGATAAAACATAATACAAACAAGAAAGGAAGTTAACTTCTGCAAGCCGAAGTTTGTATACCCTTGCAGTTATAAATATTAAACTTAGTTCGAAATTCTTAAAAATACAAAAAATGAAATTCCCAATAGTATAAGATAATATGGCAAAAGACACCGAAGCTATAAATGGTTGCAAATTATTTTCACACTAATTTTTCGATCGTTCCTATGGCAGGTATATGATACAGTCGTCCGATTTTGATAAAATTAAATTCGAAATTCAAATCTAATTAAACTAGAAAGGAATTTAACTTCGGCAAGCCGAAGTTTGTATACCCTTGCAGCTATAATTATTAAATTTGAAAGTACAAAAAATGATATTTCCAATATTATTAGATAATTGTATGTCAAAAAACACCGAAGCTATAATTTGGTTCATGTTATTTTCCCACCAATTTTCCGATCGATTTTGATAAAATGTTAAAATTTTTATATGTTAAAAAACACCAAAGAAATAATTAAAAAAAAACTTTTTTCCGATTATTCCTATGGGAGCTATAAGATAGTTGTCCGATTCGGCTGGTTCTGACTTATATACTACCTGCAAAAAAAATAATATTTTTGGGAAAGTTTCAGCCCGATAGCTTTAAAACTGAGCACTAGTTTGCGTAGAAACGAACGGACAGACGGACATGGCTAGATCGACTCGTCTAGTGAAGCTGATCAAGAATATATATACATTCTGCTGTCGGAAACGTCTCCTTTAAACTTCTGATTGAAACCATAATACTCTTTGCAAGGGTATAGAAACTATTAAAATATTTGGTTTATCTGCATTTTATTAGACACTAGCTGTGAAACGATTTAATTCTGACCTCATCCCTGTATGATAGCAATCTATTGACTCACCAGTGGTTCTTCATCGGCAACAAAGTAGCAGTAGTTTTCCCTGACCCTCTCATAGGGTATCCTGCACCGCATTCCATCGGCGGTTTGGGCCAGGAAAAGGAGCCATAGGCATAACGCAAGGAAATTGTGGAGTAGAATGCGGGGGTCTTTCTTCCGCGTCGGGCGATTCGGCATTGTGCTGAAATAAAACTGCCGGCAGTTCGCATCAGGGCGTTATCGCCCTGCCTTATCGCCATGAGCGGGGTGCTATCGGCGAAGCCCTTGTTTTGGCTTTTTTACTGATAAGGCCGTTGCTGAACTAGTTCAAGATCACGCCAAATGAAAGCTTTACATTTTGCTCTTTTTTATTTATTTAAGTTGGTGGTAAATTTCATTTAATTTAAATTTAGTAAATTCGTTTTTATTATACCCTTGCAGAAGGTATATGGATTTCAGTCAGAAGTTTGCAACGCAGTGAAGGAGACGTACTATATATATATACTATGGGGAATATCATTTTTTATATTTTTAAATTTAACAAATATAACTGCAAAGGTATACAAGCTTAGGCTTGCCGAAGTTAACTTCCTTTCTTGTTTTATGGTTTTTTTGTGTATTATAGTCTCGAACCTTCAAAAAATGTTAGAGTTATGGAATCTTCGAGGTAGGCCCGTTCCAGTTTCAGAAGTTTAACTGTATTTTGTAAAATCTATTTTCGACTTCGGCAACAACTTATGTATATAACTGATAGGGGGTTTTAACCCATAAAACACCCTCCTATTCTCGCTAAGGAGGCCCGTAAAAAATATAGCCGATAAGTTAGAATGGACAAGCTTAATTAGTTTCTTAATAATACGTCTAGTTTATTTTATAATGTCTACGGGTATTCCTGCGACATCCATCTAATCGAGTAAATCCTCTTTGCAACTCAGTTTGGAATCCACATTGAACTTATTTCATGCAACTTTTCCCTCCCCAAATTTAAGACCCACTGTTATAATTTATTTTCCCCTGATCAGACTGTTATATCGGAATTTGATTCTCTTCCAACTTTTCGTGTGGATATGTACGTATGCCACGCCTGCTTGCATTCAACCGCCGCCAGGGGGCGTTCTGTCCCTTTTGGCATTTATCTTTGCTCTGCTCATTCGCCAGAGAAGACCATCGAGCGAAAGAGCATAGGGCTGCAACATCAAACTGCCGGCTCGAACGTGTTCACTCTTGTTTTAATCCCAATTCTAGTTGTAAACACAATTCCTGAGCGCCTTTTATTAAAAAAAATAAAAAAATTTTTAAAATATCATTTGCGATTTTATTTACCTTTAAAAAATGGTAAAAATCCAAACATTGGATCTCAATCTTGTAGGTTATTAAATTGATAAATTATTCGACATCAAAATCAAATTTTTAAGAACCAACATTGATATTTATGTAAAAAGATATGTTTTCGTTTTGCGAAAGATTACTCGTAAGCCATTTATTCAAAATGTATGAAAATCGCAATTTATTTTTAAATCTTCTTCTTTTTAAATCTTTCTTAAAGGTAAGATACAACGTTTTCTAATTGTGACAGAGGATCGGCAGAGAGGAAAGGAGAGGGGAGCAGAGCAGCGTGTTGCGCGAACTTGTTGTTCGAGTTCGATGTCGACAAGTTCGAGGCAACCTGGTTGTCAAACTGTTTGGACAAATAAGTTCGACGGGCAATTTTGTATATCTATTGCCTTCATAAGTTTTTTTGACTCCGCGAAGAAAAGAAGAAATGCTTGCTCCGCAGTAAAAAAAACTCTGAAAGTGTGACAGAAAATCGTGGAAATCGGGCTAGAAAATACAAGTGCGTGAATTAAAAGACTATGTATTGTTTATAGAAGCGAAATATATAAGATTTTAGCGGTTTAACAATGTTTTTGGCGTTTTTTGGTGCTAAAACGACGCCGTCGCACTCGCACTAGCTCTCTTTCTCTCTCTCGCGGCGTCCCTGTCTCTCTCCCAATTTACGATTTTCCCTTGTGCTGGTCGTTCGTTAAGATTGTTTACGAATTGCAGTGTGTGATAAAAGTGCGAAAAACTGGCGAAAAGTATACAAAATAAAATGGAATCTGTGAATAAATGCGGCAAAAACGCAGACAAAACAAATATTATAATGAAAATGAGCCGGAAAATGTGGTTGCTTTCTCTGCTGACGCTGGCAGCGCTGCAACTGCGCCCTGGCAGCGAAGTTGCGGCTCATCTGAATGTTTTTCTAAATCCCGTGGAAGTAATGCGTTTATTAGGTGAGTTTTTTCTATTTTTTATTTTTACTTTTTTTTTTTTTTGAATTTCTTGTCGCCTCCATTTGTTATTGATTTCTTTCCTATAAACTCAACCACTCTCCCTCTCTCTCTCTCTCTTTCTGAAAAGTAAACAACACTTAAGCAACTTGTGTCAACCAATTAAAGACAGTTTTAAGTTTTCATTCATTTTGGTAGTGAAAAAAGCACACTTCCCTTTAAAAATTTTGTTTATTTTCCTTGCTTTGGCTTAATTTAGATGCCCTCGCTCTATCACCTCTCTCTTTCTCTCTCTCTTGCGCATGCCGCAGGTGTTGTTAAACAGTAAAACAAATAAACAAACCGCCCGCAACAACAAAATCAACAACCAACTTTCGTTTGCTTCGTTAGGGAATTTTACGCTTCGTATAAAAACAAAAAAGAAGAAGAAAAATAAGAAGAGGAAGCAGCAGACACGCCAAAATATATAAAAACAACAACAAAGTCTGAAAATCTACATGCTGCATTCAATTTATCTCCCTTGGTGGAGAATATTTTTGAATATTTCTTGGAACTGAAATTCCTTAGCAACCCAAAAACCAAAAAAAAGCGCAAACTGAGCTTGCGGAGGATAAGATAACGGGAGAGGGGGGAGGGAGCAAGAGCAGGAAAGAGAGGAACATGCAAACGAGATGACAACGCAAAGGCGACAACAACAAAGCCACCCAAAAAAAAAACAACGAAAACGTGACTGCGAGAAGGAGCTGAGAAAAGAAGAAGAAGAGCAGTGGGCGCGGGTGGTGGTGG